TGATGTACAATATTATATGCTATAGGTATACAATATAGTGATTCACAATTTAAAAGCTATATTCTATTTATAGTTACTATGAAATATTGGCTATATTCCCTGTGTTGTACAACATATCCCTGCAGTTTATTTTGCATCCAGTGGCTTCTACTTCCTTCTCCTTCCATGTTAACCATTCCCCTTCTCTCTTGCTACAGTAACCACTAGTTTGTTCTCTAAAGTCTGTGAATGTGCTTCTTTCTTTCTTATATTCACTGGCTTGTTGTATTCTTTAGCTTCCATATATAAGCGATATCATTCAGTATTTGCCTTTTTATACCTGACTTATCTTGCTTAGGATAATACCCTCCAAGTCCATCCATGTTGCTACAGATAGTAAAAGTTCGTTTTTTATGGCTGAGAAGTACTTCAATATACATCCTTGACACACTCCTTTCCCAATTTTGAATCAGTCCGTTGTTCCATGTCTGGTTCTGACCGTTGCTTCTTGACCTGCATACAGGTTCTCGGGAGGCAGATAAGGTGGTCTGATATTCCCATCTCTTTAAGAATTTTCCTGTTTGTTGTGGTCCACCCAGTCAAAGGCTTTAGTGTAGTCAATTAAGCAGAAGTAGATGTTTTTCTGGAATTACCTTGCTTTTTGTATGATCCAACGGATGTTGACAATTTGATCTCTGGTTCCTCAGTTCAGTTCAGTTGCTCAGTCATGTCCGACTCTCCGTGACCCCATGGACTGCAGCATGCCAGGCTTCCCTGTCCATCACCAGCTCTCACAGCCAACTCAAACTCATGTCCGTCAAGCCAGTGATGCCATCCAACCATCTTATTGTCTGCTGTCCCCTTCTCCTCCTGCCTTCAATCTTTCCCAGTGTCAGGGTCTTTTCCAACGAGCTGGCTCTTCACATCAGGTGGCCAAAGTGTTGCTGTTTCAGCTTCAGCGTCAATCCTTCCAATGAATATTCAGGACTGATTTCCTTCCTAGGACTGAATGGTTTGATCTCTTTGCAGTCCAAGGAACTCTCAAGAGTTTTCTCCAATGTCACAGTTAAAAAGCATCAATTCTTCGATGCTCAGCTTTCCAACTCTCACATCCATATATAATTACTGGAAAAACCACAGCTTTGACTAGATGGACCTTTGTTGGCAAATTAATGTCTCTGCTTTTTAATATGCTGTGGAAGTTGGTTATAGCTTTTCTTCCGAGGAACAAACATCTTTTAATTTCATGGCTGTAGTCACCATCTGCAGTGATTTTGAAGCCCCAAAATAGCCTGCCACTGTTTCCACTGTTTCCTCATCTATTTACCATGAAGTGATGGGACTGGATGCCATTATCTTTGTTTTCTGAATGTTAAGCTTGAAGCCAACTTCTTCACTCTCCTCTTTCACTTTCATCAAGAGGCTCTTTATTTCTTCTCTGCTTTCTGTCATAAGGGTGGTGTCATCTGCATATCAGAGGTTATTGATATTTCTCCTAGCAACCTTGATTTCAGCTTGAGCTTCATTTGGCCTGGCATTTCATATGATGTACTCTGCATATAAGTTAAATAAAAAGGGTGATAATATACAGCCTTGATGTACTCCTTTCCCAATTTGGAACCAGTCTGTCATTCCATGTCCAGTTCTAACTGTTGCTTTTTGACCTGCATACAGATTTCTCAGGAGGCAAGTCAGGTGGTCTGGTATTCCCGTTCTTTAAGAATTTTCCACAGTTTGTGGTGATACACACAGTCAAAGGCTTGTACAAATTAGATTTAGAAAAGGCAAAGGAACCAGAGATCAAATTGCCAACAATTGCTGAATCATCAAAAAAGCAAGAGAGTTTCAGAAAAACATCTACTTCTGCTTTATTGACTACGCCAAAGCCTTTGTCTGTGTAGATCACAACAAACTGGTTCCTCTGTCTTTTTTAAGTCCAATTTATACATCTGAAAGTTCTCAGTTCACATACTGCTAAAGCCTAGCTTGATGAATTTTGAGCATTACTTTGCTGGCATGTGAAATGAGCTCAATTGTACAGTAGCTTGAACATTTTTTTGGTATGGCTCTTCTTTGGGATTGGTATGAAAACTGACTTTTTCCAGTCCTGTGAGTTTTCCAAGTTTGTTGGCATATTGAGTGCAGCACTTTAACAGCATCATCTTTTAGAATTTGAAATAGCTCACTGGAATTCCACTAGTTCATTCACCTCCACTAGCTTTGTTTGTTGTGATGCTTCCTCAGACCAACTTGACTTCACACTCCATGGTGTCTGGCTCTAGGTGAGTGATCACACCATCCTGGTTATCTGGGTCATTAAGATCTGTTTTGTATAGCTCTTCTGTGTATTCTTGCCACCTGTTCTTAATATCTTCTGCTCCTGTTAGGTCCATACCACTCCTGTCCTTTACTGTCCTTTATTGTGCAAGAAATAGTCCCTTAGTATCTCTAATTTTCTAGAAGTGATCCCTAGTCTTTCCCATTCTATTGTTTTCCTCTATTTCTTTGCATTGCCCAATTAAAAAGTCTTTCTTATTTCTCCTTGCTATTCTTTGTAACTTTGCATTCAGATGGGTATATCTTTTCTCCTTTTCCTTTCACTTGTCTTCTTTTCTCAGCTATTTGTAAGACCTCTGAATATTTAGAGCTTAAATTTTCCTCATTTAACAATTGAGAATCATATTACTTTACTATCTTCTTGTGATAATTAGTTGAAACAAAGTAAGTACTCAAAACGTATTAGCGTTCTCTTTTCTTTAACACAGCGGACCTAAGGACAAAGTGAGTTACACACCCATCTTCTTAAAACCAGTGGTACTAGGCCCAGCTCCAGGCTTCCCACAATGAGATGCATCATCTCTACTATTCATCATGGTCAGCCAACTACAGAAGCGCCTGGAGAAGTAGGGGAATTCAGAAGAAGTGTGGGTATCAGCCTGGGGAAGTGGGTGCTCATAATATTGATGAGCTTTCGTCTCCAAAACCAAATGATGACATTTCTAACAAAATCACTCATAAAGATGGAGGTACCTGCAAAGGGGAAAAGCTGGGCCTCTTCCCCAGATGGACATCTCTGCCGGCCTGCAGGTTCACCTATCTGCCCCAGCCTAACTGAAGATGGAGAGAAAAGAGAAGGGAGCAGGGTAGAGAGCAAGGACCAGTGGTGGAGATATTTGCACACCCACAGTTGGAATGCAGAGTTGGCTAGAGTGACATCACAGAAAAGAGCCAGTTTTGCGTCATTTTATCTTCCCAAGTGGCACAGTGGTAAAGAATTCTCCCATCAGCGCAGGAGATGCCGGAGACTCGGGTTCAATCAGTGGGTTGGGAAGATCCCCTGGAAGAGGAAACGGCAACCCACTCCAGTATTCTTGCCTAGAAAATTCCACATATACAGGAGCCTGGTGGGTTACAGTCAGGGGTTTGCAAAGAGTTGGGTATGACTCAGGCACACAGATACATCAATTCTTCACTGGAGACGGCTGCTTAAAAGCAAAGCCTGCTTACCAAGAACTAGTGTGCGGGAGTCTCCACCAGGAAGGGAATACAAAGGAAACTGGAGAGGGGATGGAGTTACACATCAGCAAATTGTGTAACAGGGAGACCCCAGTAAGACCTTTGAAAGATTTTGTGCATGAAATCTGGGGAGGGCCAGTGTTTGAAAGTGTCTTGCACTTGGAGGGTTTGGTGGCTCAGAAGCAGCAGCCACCTAAGAAAAAAATGACAAACTCACCCAGGAAAAAGGCTTTTACTATTTTCCCTGAACCTTTCTTCCTCACCCAACATCAGAAGAGCCCAAGGCCAGAGGGGATCAAGAGCGAGCTCAGAGGTCAACTGTGTCTTCCGATTACCAGCTCCAAGTTGCTGGAGTAGAAGAGAGGATCACAGTCTCATCTGCTCTGAAATGGGGGCCTTTGCTTGGAGAAGCGGAGAGAGGAGATACATACATACATATATATATATATATATATATACACACACACACACAGAGGGGGTTGTTTAGTCACTAAGTCATGTTTGACTCTTTTGAGAACCCCACGGACTGTAACCCACCTGGCTCCTCTGTCCATGGGATTTCTTAGGCAAGAATACCGGAGTGGGTTGCCATTTCCTCCTCCAACTTAGGGATGGAACCCACGACTCCTGAATTGGCAGGTAATGACAACCCTCTCCAGTATTCCCGCTTGAAAAATCCCACAGACAGAGGAGACTAGTGAGCTATAGTCTATAGGGTTGCAAAAAGTTGGACACAACTGAGTGTTTGAGCTTATAGCATACACATAGACATTTAGATTAAATTTTTAAATGAATATAATCTTGGAATTGAAAGTGACTATATATCATGGACTCTGCTGAATATGCACCTAAGGGACTAGACAAGGAAATCCAGCCGAGCTCCGAGGAAAACAATGCTGTGGGAAGTAGAGGAAAGCCTTTTCTTCTTTTTACCCCATTATGTTGAGATTTAATGATTGGACAAAAAAATGCATTCCAAATGATTAAAATTTCACAAATCACCCTTCAAGTAGTCACTATAACTACACAGAACTTTTTAACGGGAAAACTACCTTACCCACACAGTGTATGCACTTTTAAATGATTTCCGGAGAAGAGGGTGTGTTCTCATGTGACTTTTTGGTAGCTTTACTTCCTTGTTTGTTTTGGTTCAGATTTTCATCCGGTGAAGCAGAATCTGCCACCCCGGGCCTCCCCGACAGCCTTGATAAGAGGGGCGCCCGGAGTCTGGGGCGGTGTGGTGCCCCGGGGGTGGGCCCCACGGCTCCGTACGCACGTGGTGTCCCCCACCGCCCTGCGCCGGGACCGCCAGCGCCGGGCTGGCCCGGGAGAGAGCCGGGAGCCTGCGTGTCTGGAAGCGGCTATTCCCACCTTACAAAATCTGCCCTCGCTGACATGTGGCAAAAACGTGATTCGAGGAGCGGCCACAGGCACCCCGCACCGCAGGGCAGGCTCTGCTGACAGGCGAGGGCAGGCTACCCGGGGAAAAGCCATTTTCACCGGTCTCAGAGCCCCTGGACGCGCCCCGGGGTTGTCTCCGAGCGCCTGCGGGGAGGCGGGTACAGCGCGTCCTCCCGCGGGGCAGGGCCGGGCGAGCGCCGGGCTTGGCAGAGGCGCTCGCCCGGCCCGGGCACTCCGCGCTCCGCGGGCGGTGCGGGGAACGGCGAGTCCCCCGAGGCTGCGCACCCGGGAGGCGCAGGCCCCGTGAAGTGCTCCGAGTTCAAGGGAAGCATGGCGGTGTGCTCGCCGCGGGAGAGCCAGATCCCGCCTTCCGCTCGGGATCGCGCGGCCCAGGGTCTCACCCATGAAGACCACCCAGCGGGCTCTGTGGCCGTCGTACGTGACCCCGAGGGTCTGGAAATCTCCTCCCGGACAGAAAGAAAAGAAGCTGGATTCCGCGGGCCTGGGAAATGCTGAGAGGACTGAGCTTGCGCTGCCACCTCGTGGTTGACCATGAAATAGCCGCGGCACTCACAAATTACTCCCGTCGACTGGCGAGTGGGTGCGAGCGGAGGCGGCCTGGCAATAGAAAGAAATCAAAACCAGCTAATATTTTTTTTTCCGGATAGTGTGGCGATATTCCTTAATTGAATTTGAAGGGTATATATGAGAAAGACAATTTTTGTGTTTTTGGCTAATCCAAATGGCACAGGTTAAGTGCAAGCGTGCTTAGTTGTGTGTGACCTTTTGCATCCCATGGCTATAGCTCACCAAGCTCATCTGTCCATGGAACTTTCCAGGCAAGAATACTGAAGTGGGCTGCCATTTTCTCCTCCAGGAGATCTTCCCGACTCAGGCTCAAACCCGAGTCTCCTCTGAGTCCTGCATTGGCAGGCATATATGTATATTTTTTTAAAATAACTGAGCCGCCTAGGAAGCCCACAGGTTGAAATTACCTCCAAATATGACACGTCCAAACATGACTAATCTGGGCTTCCCTGGCGGCTCAGTGGTAAAGAATCTGCCTGCAAATGGAGGAACATCAGGTTCCATCCTTGGATGAGGAAGATCCCCTGAAGAAGGAAAAGGCAACCCATTCCAGTGTTCTTGCCTGGGAAATCCCATGGACAGAGGAGCCTGGCGGGCTCCAGACCATGGGATCGCAGTGTGTGGGACATGACTTAGTAACTTAACTAAACACAAAAATGACTAGTTCTGCACCCAATTAATTTCCAGTACATGGGAGGAGGCCCTCCTTTACTGTTCACTCGTCCTTGCTCTGAGCCCCACCCTAGCCCTCCGCTCCCTCCCCAGCAGCCCTGCGGGGCCTGACAGTTACCTCTGAGAACCCAGAGGAGCTGGCAAGTTTCTCAAGCCCACCTGCGCCCTCCCACCTCAGGCTGCAGGCTCAGTCTCCTCCTGCAGGTCTTTGACCCCTTTCCCATTCCGGAGTTCTTCTCTCAAGTCTGTTCTGACAAAGAACATGGACAAAGATGACCCTCCAATCATAACTCACAGAAGGGGTGTGAATTCTACTCTCCTGACACTTGGATAACATCTACGAACCGCCATGCCCACAGGGAACATTTAAAATTCTGTTTTCTGAGAATTCATGAGTTGCCTTTTCCCTCTGATTTCTCTGCTGGCCCTACAAAGTTCCTGGCCTGATGCCATATACTGGGCTATGTGCTTTGTCCCAAGAAAAGCACAGATTTTTAGTGTCTTTCAGAATGAAAGAACCAGAGAACTGACTCTAGTCCTTTTCTGATGAAGCAAAACATGAAACCACATCACATCACACTCAGCTCTGCAGTTGTGTACCCCCACAGCCCAGCACATATATAAGTAGGACCATTGTCTCCTCATTTGGAAGCACTCAGATTACCTTGCCAGTGTTCAATTTCTCCCAAAATAATGGGCCCTTGCTCATTACACATTTCATGACAAAACTGGCTCAGAAAGATAGTTCTTCTAAAAACAAGTGAGTCTATCCTGATTGCTATTTTTAACTTTTACCTTCAGGGCTACGTGAAAGATGGGTTTTAATATAGAAGCATTGTTTCCTCAGATACACAGATGACACCACCCTTAGGGCAGAAAGCGAAGAAATAAAGAGCCTTTTGATGAAAGTGAAAGAGGAGAGTGAAAAAGTTGGTTTAGAATTCAACATTCAGAAACTAAGATTATGGCATCTGGTCCCATCACTTCATGGCAAATAGATGGGGAAACAATGGAAACAGTGACAGACTTTATTTTCTTGGGCTCCAAAAATCACTGCAGATGGTGACTGCAGCCATGAAATTAAAAGATGCTTGCTCCTTGGAAGAAAAGCCATGACCAACCTAGACAGCATATTAAAAAGCAGAGACATTACTTTGCCAACAAATGTCTGTCTAGTCAAAGTCATGTTTTTTTCCCAGTAGTCATGTATGGATGTGAGAGCTGGACTATAAAGAAAGCTGAGCGCCGAAAAACTGATGCTTTTGAACTGTGACGTTGGAAAAGACTCTTTGAGAGTCCCTTGGACTGAAAGGAGATCAAATCAATCAATCCTACAGGAAATCAGTCCTGAATATTCATTGGAAGGACTGATGCTGAAGCAGAAGCTCCAATACTTTGACCACCTGATGTGAAGAGTCAACTCATTGGAAAAGACCCTGATGCTGGGAAAGATTGAAGGCAAGAGGAGAAAGGGAAAACAGAGGATAAGATGGTTGGATGGCATCACTGACTCAGTGGATGTGGGTTTGAGCCAGCTCTAGGAGTTGGTGATGGATAGGGAAGCCTGGCTTTCTGCAGTCCATGGAGTCACAAAGAGTTGGACACAACTGAGTGAGTGAACTGAACTGAACTGAAAGATGGGTTTTAATATAGAAGCATGGGTTCATCTCCTTATCCCACTATATGCTAATGACAAAGAGTTTTACTTCCCCAGACCTCCAAATAAGGGTAGTAATGCGTACCTCACTGAGTAAGAATAAGATGAGATAATTTATGTGAAAGCATTGCATAAATAATATTCTAGAAAATAAATATACATTTTTAAATTTTCAAGTCTTAATACTTTTGAAGCTGGTAAATAAGAGTTTGCAATGTATGATTCTGCATTAGTGCAGCACTACTGGCAGGAAATGCTAAAATTATTCTTCATCTGTGTTACATTAATTCATTTCTGTATATTAGGATTGGCATTTTGAAATAAATGAATATGCTCTTCTATTTTAGGTTTTTGTATATATGGTCTTCTCCTAGTTACCTGAAGTACCTTGTCTCCTTGGGCAGATGGGTAAAGTGAGGGTTTGGGAGGATGGGGAGAGATGAGAATTGTTCTAGCAGAAATGGAAAGAGTAAAGAAGATAACCTGTTATATAAAATAATTGTTGCTGTTGTTTTTAAATCAGTCTTGAGAGTCGGACTTTGTTAGGTGAGAAAGAATCTTCTAAAACTCCTGTGGTCCCACTGAACAGATGAAAAATGTGGACCTGGAGTCTCGGATCATAGATTTTTCTTTACCTCTTCCATCTATGGCCACTAGGAGAAGGGTGAATGGACAAACAGTAGAAAGGTTACTGCCCTGGATGGGATATAATATCAAAGAAAGAAAAGCCTGAGGATTATTGCTTTAAATACCCAAAGTTTGCTTTAAAGAGAGGGAGGAAAGGGGATGGAGGGCAAGGAGGAGCAGGGAACGTATCAGGTGCTGAAGTTCTAACTTCCAGTAATGTGGCTTTAGACCTACGGATAGGTCTAGGGCAGGCCAAGACTGCTGGGGAGGTGGCTAGCTTCCCTGACATGCTAGGGAGGATCTGCAGACCTTAAGAGAGGCAGCATATGGCCACTTCTAACCTGGAAACAGGCAACGATGCTCCTGCAGGCACCAAAGACCCGGCCCAGTGGGTGGACAGGTGATCAGACGTGTGTCTAGTAGCCCTTTCGAGACCAAGTTCCCCTTTATGACCCTGGAGAAGATAGCTTCACTGTGTTGAAGGTAGTGAAATGTGCTTGCGTGTTAGTTGCTCATTCATGTCTGACTCTTTGCGACCCCATGGACTGCAGCCTCCCAGGCTCCTCCGTCCATGGGATTTTCCAGGCAAGAATACTGGAGTGGGTTGCCATTCCCTTCTCCAGGTGATCTTTGTGACCCAGGGATCAAACCCATGTCTCCTGCATTGTATACTTAGGCACTAAGAAAGGACTTGAAATCAGGTCTCCCCAAGCTGTCCTCAGTTCCTGTGTGGTATGGGTGGGACCTGGAACCTCCTATATTTCCCTTCAGAGGAGAAATAGAGAAACCCGGGAGCAAGGTCAAGGGTCTTGCCTGAAGCTCACTGTGGTAGAGAAAGAAGCATCATTGTGGAACCGTTTGGGCCAAGATCATGGCCTTATACCAAAAGGCATTCACAGCATCCTCTAGAACTGATGCGCTGATGGGGGCCCCGTTAGCAGAAGCAGTAACCAGGTACCGCTCAACTATGCAGTACCTAAGTGACAGATACCAGAAGCTGAGGACAGCAGAGTGAGCACTGATTCTTTTCCCAGAACCAGTGTGGATTCTGAATGCAGATCTAAGACCCTCCTGTTTTCAGATCATGACAATACTTCTGCCCCACAGCCTCCATAATCAGACGCTGTGCTGAGCACAGAAAAGGGGGGAAGGGTATGTATAATGTGACAGATTGAGTATGTTACATACAGGACAATTTTATACACAGTTTAAAATATTGAAACAGATCAGGGTCACCAGATTGAATTATATCAATTACTGCCCACCCCCCCACTCTAGGTTTAGTAGCAGGGAGTGGCCTGAGGGGGTGTTGGGGGTGCTGGTAATGTTCCCTTTCTTGATCTGGGTGCTCACTCCATGGGTACGTTTTTGGAAAATCTCAAAGCTGAACACTTAGATACTTGCACATTTTGTTATGTGTATTTTCCTTCAACAAAAATTTTTGCTTGAAAATTCTGGTGCATCTTAACTCCCTACACAGTCACAGGCACACAGACAACCCAGTAGGTGCCACCTGTGAGATAAAATAAGTCAATTTTAGGGAAATAAAGATGCCATCTTTCCCCACACATCTGAATGCAGTATGAGTAAATGTGTGCATTTATTTTATGTGCTTTTACTAATGGAAATGGGTCAAAATCCATGAACCTGGAAGACTCCTCAAATAGTGGCAGGGGTGTCATAAGAAAAAACTCAGGCTAGTTCTACATTTAATACTCTCTAAATTAGCCAGCTAAATAGGGCCAATTTCAGGTGACAGGAATTGAAGAAGTTAGTCATTGTTATGTCTACATACAAACATACCTTGGAGAGAACAAGGGTTTGATTCCAGACCACTGACATAAAGTGAGTCACACCAGTTTTTTTGTTTATCTGTATATATAAAAATGAATTATAGTCTACTAAGTGTAAAATAGCATTACATCTAAAAAGCAATGTACATATCAAAAATACTTTTTACTAAAAAATGCTAATCATCATTTAGCACTGACCTTGAGCAAGTCTTTATCT